ATATAATTAGTATTATTTTTAGTATTATCATTATTAATATTCTTGATATTACAGTTGTTGTAATAATTGTAATTCCTACTACACTTGTTGTTAGATTCTTTTTTTGACACCTCAATGCTGATCAAACACCAGTAGACATTCTTCTTTATGCACAGGTGTTTAAATCAGAAGTGCCCAATTAAATTCACGTACTCTGCTTTTCATGGCGTTGGCTTGAAATATGCACTGCAGTTACTGCAAAAGTTTGGCTTTGCTTCAGGAAATGTCGTTGTTGTTAAGGTGTGTTGACTTTAAAATTCGCTCTGTTCTTTCCAAAGTCCGTCTTTCAATTAGTGCAGGTTTCTTCATTTTACTCATATCAGAAAAATTTATTTTTGGTTACAGGAACAAGCTTATCCGGACCCAAATTTTCCTACTGTTTCATCACCCAACCCAGAAGAGGGTCGCAAAGTGTTACAGCTGTCTATAGAAACTGCTGATAAGAATAATTCAACAGTTATTCTTGCCAATGATCCTGATGCCGATCGTTTCCAGTTGGCTGAGAAACAACCTGAGTTGGTCCAAGTCTTCTGTACATTAGTAATTATAAATACACAATTTGTCATGGAGCAATTACTTTTATTTGAGTTTTAAAAAGGTTTTTTTGGAGGAAAATCTTTTAGTGGCGAGTGGCACGTTTTTACCGGAAATGAAATGGGTACCTTATTGACTTGGTGGGTATGGAAGTGTTGGAAGGAAGAAAACCCAAACAAGGAACCATCAGACGTTTACATATTGAACAGTGCTGTTTCGTCTTCGATTGTCAGGACCATAGCTGCAAAAGAGGGTAATTGAGCCTCTCAAGCGGTCATTTATCTATGCTGTATTTTATCAGTCACCCAACTGAATTGCCCGATTGTAGGTTTCAAGAACGAGCTGACTCTAACTGGTTTCAAATGGATGGGCAACAAAGCTGATGAATTGGAGAAACAGGATAAAAAAGTGCTTCTAGCTTGGGAAGAGTCTATTGGATTTATGTTGGGACACCCTCGCGATAAAGATGGAGTCACAGCTGCAGCTGTTTTTGCGGAAGTAGCATCTTTTCTGAATTCTCAGGGGCTGACTTTAAAAAAACAGTTATTTAGTATTTACAATCAGTGAGTTTCATCTTTTACTACTAAATCTGATTATGTTATAATTCCAATTTTATTAGTTTTCTAGTCATTTTATTACATTTTAAAATACGTAGGCGTCATCTGCAGGTACGGTTTTCACCTTGCGCGTAGCTCATACTGGTTTGTGCCCTCGCCTGATGTAACGAAAAAAATATTTGGAAAATTAAGAAAAGATATGAAAGTAAGAAATATATTTTTACCGACGTTATATTTTTTAAAGGGTTTTTCGAAGGTTTCTATGCTTTTTTGGTAATAGATCTTTCTTAGTTTCCATCAGCTATTGGCAAATACAAAGTGAAGTATGTCAGAGATTTGACAATTGGTTACGATAACGAACAGCCAGGGAATAAACCTGTAATTTTTAATGGCTTTTTGAATTAGTAGTTTTGTTTAAATTTGTAATTGGTTTATTTGCCTAGAGAATGGTTTTTTTTCAAAACAGTAAATTATTTTCTTAGAAGCACACAATTTTATGGATTTACAAAAATTTTTCAAGGTGTTGCCTCTAAGTAAGTCATCAGAAATGATGACCTTTACCTTTGCTGATGGTAGTTTGGCTACCGTACGAGCGAGTGGCACGGAACCGAAGCTAAAGTATTACATTGAATTGAAAACTGGACCAGGAAAAGATGAGAGGCTAGCTTAAATTTTTTTGTTATTCTAAAATGCATGTACTTTTAATTCATTCAAAGCGATCTTAGAGGTTGTTTAAGAAACACAGTATACTTTTTAGGGATTTGAGTAAAGTGATGAAAGAGCTGGAGGAATTAGAAAGTGCTGTCGTTGAATCACTGCTTGAACCAAAGTTTAACGGCCTTATGGCAAGAAAATGATGCTAAAGTAGGAAGTCCTGAAGAAGTAAACTCTTTTGAGGTTTGTTTGGGAATTGTATATTTTGTTTTCTCAATATCTTGAAGTCTGTTTGATTCGTTTATGTCTTTTAAAAAATGCATTTTTAGACGTTTATATTTCTTAAATACTGAACACTGTTAAATTCTTTTTGACTTTAAAGAGGTCCTTGTTAGGCAATTGCGAGTGATGTTCTTTGCTGTTCAAGTTGAGGTCTTTGATTAACTTTGTTACGTTTATTTTTTACATTGTGCACATGCTTTGAATAAAACCTTTGTACAGTTTTGGTTGTATATTTTCAAGAATTTAGCATTATCTTGTTTTAGTCAGCTAACTTAGCAGTTCCTATGGCGTCAGTTATTCGCTAGATTGTTGTTTACGTGAAATACTGCTGTTCACGCCGCTTTTTATGTTTAATTCTTAGTAGATATGTTAAAAAGTTCTAGTTCTGATGAAATATTTATTTATTTTTTGATTCTCAGAGATTCTAGTCCTAAAATGCTCTTGTAATTTGTTCATTGTTTTTATGTAGCTTTGTCTGTTGATCTGACATATCGTTATCATTCTTTATTTGTTTCATGAATAAATACTGTACTGAATGTGGTAATAGTAACATAATGATTAGAGTAGAACATCAAACAGCTTTAGTCGGCTAGTCTGTAGGCAGTGGTTTATAGTTCCAAAAATTGCTTTGAACAATTGTTAGAATTGGAACATATAGAATTGATTCAATGAAAACTACTAAACATTAATTACAGAAAGTAATGGGTGAGTTTGGCAGGAATTCATTCTTTATGGGACAGAAGTAACGAATTCCGGTGAAAAAACGGGAGCTGATTTTCCCTTACACTTTTTCGTCTGTAAGAAAACTTATTTTGGCTTTGCATCACTGTTCCATTAATACCTTCAATTTCGCAGAAACTGTCGTCGAGTTTTACGTAATAGTTGCAATGAGAGTGGTGCCGCTGCAATGAAATTTCTTTCTTAGCTGAACTCTCTTTAGGAGAACCAATTTATATACTTTTTTTTATTGGGGTTTTAATGAAGAGTTATATAGCAAAAAGGAAACTCTACGATGGCAAAGGTACTACAGTGATGGCTAGTTGAATTTCAATATTTACAGTGTTATTACTCAAACAGTGCGTTAGTTTCTGGAGTACAGTTTTTTGTGGCAAAAGTCAATTAATTTTATTCTTATTTTTTTCTCTTTTCTTTTCTTATTTTTTTCATTTTTTATTCTTATTTTTTGTTTTTATTGAAAATTTTTATCTATTTTTTTTGTAAAAAGACCCTAAGCGGGGCAATAGTTTTTTTTTTATTTTTTTCAGATACCGATATGAAGAAATTTTAACTTTTGTGATTAAATTTATATAATGTATATTTGTATGATATTTTTATTCTTATGTCCATTGTAATGTTGAAATGTTTATATTTTTTCTTTAACCTATGCCCCTTTTTTGGAGTTCTACTACACTCACTTTAAAAACCCTAAAAACCCTGAAAACTGTTTCAAGCCTTCCTTTTTGCAAATCTTAAAAGGTGTACTACTGTTTGCTTTAATTTGCACCAACTAGAAAAAACTTCTATGTTAACCAGAGGAATCTCATTGTTTGAAGTAACAACTTCAATTTGATGTTCTTCTGGCTATGACAATTCTTCTTCTTCATTTAGTTCTTAATCTTCTAAATTTTGAGGCCATTGGTTTTCTGACATAGACAACCAATTTGGCGCTGCCCACCAATTCCTTTTGTTAACTAATTCTAGTGATGTACATCCTCTAGTCGCAATGTCAGCAGTATTCTCATTTGATTGGACATAATAAATTTCTACGCCTTTTGCATCCTTAATTTCCTTTATCCTGTTTGAAACAAAGGTTGAAAGAACTTTTGTTGTTTTCAACCAATGTATAACACATTTCGAGTCGCACCCAACAATACGACGTTTAAATGAAAGACGCAGTTCCCGTCCGAACGCAGTAGCTCTGATTCCTATTAATAACGCAAGTAACTTAGGACGTAGAATAGTTATACCTTTTGTAGGACAAAGACGATTTTTACTAAAAATCAAGTCAACTTGATATTTTTCGTCTATTTTATTTCTAAGGTATACAACTGCGGCGTAAGCTTTCTCAGAGGCATCAGCAAAGGTATCCAATTCAAACTGAGTTGCATAAATTAGATCACATACTCTTCATGGCATTGTAACTTTAATGGGCTCATTCCAGCTTTTCTGTATAGCATTGCATTAAATTCTCAAGTCTTCTGATAATTCTTCATCCCACGACAGTTCTTTTCTCCAAAGCAACTGAATGAATACCTTTGCTTTCAAATTTACTGACGCAATTAACCCTAATGGATCGTAGCTTTGTGCTAAGCGAGATAGAACTGTCCTCTTAGTAATCAATTCGTTTCCATGAATCTGTGACAAGATGTTTTCTATAAGAAGTAGTTGATAGTTGTAAAAAGCGCGAAAATTTGTTCACTAAATTTTAAAATTTGCTTTTGTCCGAAAAAATATTTATTAAAATGAAAAATTTCGCCAATGTTTTCGAGTTTTTACAGTGTCTCTGGATAAAAAACCAATAAAAAACTAATTTTTGATTCTGAACTCTGTAGCTGAAACAGTATATAACTTTCGTCAGGACTAAATGCTCTTTAGCAACGGCCAAAATACTAACTAAAAAGTTAGCCGACACGCCTAATAAATTTGTAAAAGTTGTCGTAAACTTTAATAATAAATTTATTTTTGCCGGTTAGGAATTTTTTTTAAATGCAAATGAATACCTTTGAATGAATACCTTTGCTTTCAAATTTACTGGCGCAATGAACCCTAATTAACTCAAAAATTAGACGTGAAAAGGCAACAGAAATAAACAAGTCATATACCGTTTCAAAACAGAAACGCTAGTAATTATTGAGCTCTCACAATTTGGTCGTAAAATAATAAAACAAAACTACGTGCTTGACTTTATCGAACTTTATGAATAAATATAATTTTTTGACTGGCTTGTCTTGTACGATTTTAGACAGGAAAATCTATGTGTGCGTATCAATTTGGGATTAGCAGCTGTATCGTATGAAGTCAAAAAGTGGAAAATTGTGTTACCGCACAAAGATCAAAATTTCATAGTTGCTTGAAGAAGACAGTGGCAAAGTATGGAAACTGCACTTGGAAACTCTGGAATTTTTAATTCTCTGACGCGAACACAATGTTCCTGAAAAAAATTAGAAAGTAGGAAAAGTAACAACTGCGACGCCTTCGTTGAAGGCTAAGTTGTTTAGTGGAAACGGTACTGAGATATTTTGAGATATCTATATTTTAGGATTCTTGGGTAAAAATTGAAAAAGTGAACAGTATTAAGTAATCAAAACTTTTATTTGAGTCTGTCATTTTGAGAACTTATGATATCTTCTTCTGACAAAATAATTTTATTAAGAAAAATGCTTCTCTCTTTCTCTTTTTTTTTCCTTTTCTTTTCTATTTTCGTTTTCTCCGAGCCTCAATTCACTTGCAAATAAACCAGCTAAAAGTTCCTTATAAAACTTTTTTATAAAGAGTAAATTTTCCTCTTTCCAGAGAACACCATTCCTATTTGAAAAATGACCGCTGCTCGTTACGTCAATTTATACAGAAATCGGAGGAGTCAATTATCCAAACAAAAGTGGAAGACCAGATGACAAGTATTTTGCAGGAAAAAAAATAAGAAATTAGTGAAAAATTTTCATATAGAGTTAAATTTTTTTTTGTTTTTATCTTTCTTTCTACAGATAATCCACTGATGTTGGTACATATCAGCGTTGTCCAACTTTTTATGTTGCTATCAAATTTTTGCTTACGTTGAATGGTAATGTCTAAAAATTTGTTCAGATATCAACTGATTAGATGCATACAAAACGTTTTCTGCAAATGGTAATATTGTTTTGAACTACTTTGTCAAATTACTGTCTTTCTAACTTAACTACTTGTTTTTTCCAACCTGCTTAAATTTGTCTCTCGTTTGCACCTCTTTCTTCTAATCTTTTTTTATTTATGTTTATTGTTTTATACAGACAACATTACAGAAGAACTTTGTTACTGAATAAAACAGTAGAAGAAAAGCTAATTTTGATACAGTTAGCAGTGGCAGAGGTTATGACAAATGAATATTACGAAGATCACAACTACAAAGATTTTGGCCACAAAGAGCAGTCAAACTTTTGAAGTGCTGCAACCGCAACATCAAAAAGTGATAGCCTGTTTGTCCAAATATCTCGTTAGTTGTCTTTCCGGAAATCTCGCACAGGCTTAGTAGTTTTGCAGACACCATCACTGATATTGACCATTGACCTGTTTAGGAAAGCGTCATAAAGAATACAGTACATGCAACTCTACTAAAAACTTTTGAAAGCTGAAGCATAAAAGGGAAGTCAAGAATTCTGCATACAGAAAACAGAATTAATTTATAGACAAAAAAATAAGAAATTTGAAGGTTGGCACACTGAGAACCTGGATTAAAGGTTTCTGTGATGTTTTCAAAGCTATTTATAAAAGACCTGAAAGTACCACAGCAAACTAATTTAAAAATTCTCAAACTACAAAATGGAAATACGTAGAGTAAAAAGACGGTGTCGTAAAGACAAATGTTTTTTGCTCTTGCTTTTAAATGCTTTGATAGAAAATGATTTAAATCGTTTCTTACTTCGGCAAAACTTTTGCAGGAAACCAAGATTTTATTTCAGGATTCTGAAGAAATTCGACAAATAAGCTCAATTATGTAAGAGCTGCTTACTTTCAAAACCAGAAAGAAAGAGAGAGGAA